CCCCTACGGCAATAACACTGCCACCATCATTCTCCGCCTTATCTTGATCTTTTTCATTGACATCAGCAACTACTTCCTTGTTGATTTCGTTTACAGACTTAGCTTCGTCCTCTAACAGGGGCATTTTTGGATTTTCACACGTGTCTTCAACCTCCTTTGCAGGCTTATCTTCTGGGGCTTCATCCTTCTCAGCTTTTTCCTTGGGGACAATTTTGTCCTTTTCTTCTTGTTTTTCGCTATCCTCCACTATGGTTTTTACAGGAGCCTCTTCTTTTTGTTTCTCAAAGGAGGTTTTTTCTGCTTCCTGCATATCAACATCTTCTCCTTCAGCAGCCTTTTCAGGGTTGTTTTCTTTCTCTGGGGTTTCTTCTTCAGGTTTCTGTTTCTTATCCTTCTTTGAAGACCTTTTAGCCCGTTTGGGCACCGGCTCAGTCTCTGGTGGTGGTGGGCTAACCTTTACCTTCTCACTGATTCTTGCAGACCTCCTTGGAGTTTCACCGCTTCCCCAGTCGAACTCTGAGATTTTGGGCCCACCAGGGTGTGCTTTCAGGTACTGATCCAGCTGCTTCCTGGTACTGATCTCTTCCCCAGTTGGCGCAGTGAACACAATCTCATTTTTCTTTGGTGTCCCTCCTTTCTTTGGCAAGAACTACATGTAAACCCGTGGATTAAAAAAGAGGGAGAATGCCATAGTAACAATATAACAAGTTCAAACAGAACATAAACCAAACAAACCCAGTATATTTTGCTCAAAAGCAGGGGCTGGGAAGGGTGAGATGTACGTAGACCTGACCTCTACCCAAAAGGGTAGAGTGATTGTTTCCATGAAGACTCCCGGCTTGTGCAAATAGTATGAGCAAACAGGAAAGAAAAGGGCAAGAATAAATAACCAGGAGTAGCACATAGTAAGCAGCAAAAGAAGAAGAAAAATATATACACACAAGTACACACAATCCTTCCATCTAACATAGGACTCTGTTACCCTATCTGCCACTGGCCCTCTCCCTTCTTCCTATCCACTGGCTACAGGTCCCTACCTTAAATCTACTTCCCAAGTCCTGCGTCTCCAGGAACTCTATCAGAACTTATGTTCATCCTCAACCACAGAGCATATATCACACAAAGAAAAAGAGGAGAAAAAAAGGTAGCAGCATAAAACAAGCTGTTTACCCCAGATTGGTTGGGCAAGCTAATTAATACTGCACTTTCACACTCCTCTTTCCTTTAATACAATTCCACTCATAAAAGATCTCTATTTGCTATTTTCCCATGTCATTGTTGACCAACCCCTACATCTCTCCTAACAACACTTTTAGCCATATATCTATCCTAGGATTCACATTTCTGCTACACTTGTGTGTTGTGTACATGTTTTTGGTGGCCCAATATATCGTCCAGAGAATCATAGCATGCTCTACCCTGTCCTACAGAAGTTGCTTTTAAGCTTCATTGCACTTCCTATCACATAATACCAAAAGCTTGTCATCCACTTTGTCTCATCTCCTATAGCAAACATGTTCATCAACTTATCAATTCTTGTTGGTAGAATCTGGATAACCAAATATATCCTCTATGCTTAACATCTCATTCACATTTCTGCGACACTCACTTTGTATACATGTTGTCTTTCCATGGCCTAACATACTGTCATGTAAATCATAGGAAGTCTCACTGCCATTCTCCATCGAATTGAGTAAGATTGTAAGCGTGATAGCAGGTATAAATAGCTCCAATTATCGCAGGTGCAGAAGATATCATCTTTCTCATAGTTCAAAGGTCTCTCTTAGTAACAGGAATCAAATCATTAATAGATATGTTCCACCAAAATATGGTAATGGGATTGGAGTATGAATATATCATCTATTATCCAAGGGAAATAACATCTATACCTCACATGCTTTCTCACTCGGTATCCCATCATACATAGAAACAAATCAAACCAACTCACGATAGGAGATTTCTTCTATTTAGGAGCCCACCATGACGTTTTCCTCAATACACCATCATATGCATTTTCTAGATCAATGAACACCACATGTAAATTCTCTTCGTTTTTCCTACACATCACTCTGAGTCATCTAATCATGAAAATAACCTCATCTAATGTCCGTAGCATAAAACAAATTTGATTTTCCAACACCTAAAGTCTACCTATGTTCAGTAGCTCTCGATAAGGTTCAACAAAGAAACAAGGCGTTTCCACTAGTGGTGAAAAGTAAAGCTGGACTAAAAATCATTGCCTAGTCTAAAGCATTATTTCTGATGCCCGCAGGTAATAAAAACATACCTAAATTGAAGACATCATCTTAGTCAAGGTAGGACCTCAAAAGTATTCGATTAAAAGTACATATGTTGTCAGCATGCTATTTCTTAACCAAAAATGTAACATCATATTTCCAATTCAAGGAAAAATCACAAATACAAGTCTTATTTCCACATGCTACATGGTGAGGTAAGCCCATAGAGGAAGATCTAACCACAACAAAATCGTCTCCAATACTACATTAAAAAGCTTTAATATATCATGGCACCACCTTCTGGACAGGGTTAACTTCCAGAGTCGTGCACAGCAATAGCTTTTCTGACAACATCCTTCCCATTCCGTTCATATTTAGTGCCCACTCAAATTAGGGAGAAAAATATGCAAGGCCAGCAAGGGCGGTGAAACTACACACAAAAGAAATGAAGGGAAAGTGTAAACTTAGCATATGTTAGTGAAATATCATTATCAGCTAAACTAAATTAGGAAGCAGTATCCTTGGGCAAAGCCTCACAAGTTTAGCACCAAGTGAATAGATGTAATAACCAAATACAAGAGTTCAGTTATAGGAAACCATGTGAGCATAAACTTTACTCCAAACTAATTGGGTATTGATCGAAGAAGTCCATAATAAACAAATAAACAAATGAAATGGTAGACCAAGTATAGTTCCCTCACAAGTAGGAAGGATTAATAGCTTATAACAAATCTTTCTACAAGCCTGCAATTGATTATTGCTCTTATTGTACAACAGCTCCATCATGTGTCCCCACACCAGACTCTTGACCCAGCTACTGTTATGTACTTATGTTGCTATAGCAGCTCAATTCTTCTCCAAGGCTAACCCACAACCTAAGACAGCTTATCTCAAATATAATATTCCATAACAATCTCATTTACCATCTTGCAAATATGCTCAACTTCAAATTTTCCCCATTTACCATACCCATCAATATTTTAACCTCAATCACTTCACAATGATTTACCTTCATAAACAACAATATTCCAGCTTAGATAGCAAAATAGAGCTATCCTGAAGATACTCCCAAATGATGCAATTGTCACATCCTTAGCCTTGTGTTCCAAGCAAAATGTCTATATCTACTGACAGTAGCTTTTAGACTAAACCCTCAGCTTCAATCAATACCTATTAGATTCTTTCAAGGTGCAGCATATCTTCAGCCCTTAAACTTCACTGGTACTCATCAAACCGACAATATTTACAACAGAATAGATCAAACTAAAAAACCTCATAAATAACTCAAATAACAAAATACTCCAAATTGCTCGAAATACAACTCTTAAGGTTTCATGAAGATGCTTAGTCACTAAGTCATCATGTATGTCTCCAATCCTGTGAACAATTAACAAGCCAGTAGCTAAATATCCATAAAAGACCCACTATACTAGATCATTTAATTCCATTACCCTCCTAAGTTTAACTGAAGAGTCTCTTCCCACAGTGCAATAATTGTCAAGACCTCCGCCAAATGATTGATGCAAATGATCTTATGTAATTAACTTGCTTTTCTTTGCTTAGACTGTCATATGGGCATTTGCCTATTTGGCAAGTTGAGGAAGAGTGGTAAGTTTTGCAGCTATAGAAGCACCATACAAGTGAGAAAATATTGCTCAGGGAATGAAATCAAAAGATGAGAAAATAAGTTGAACTGATTCTCCAGCATAAGTAGTCAACAACAATATACAAAGCCATATACTCAAAACCACGAATGGATCAAATACTTAAAGTTCTCAGGGTAGTCAACAAGAAAGAAGCAGCCCAGGTACCACAGGTATCTTTTAACAACAAACAAACATGAATGTTGTCTATATGCCATAAAACAGAAGAGAAGAATAACATGTATTATCATGATTAGGTAGCAGGCCAAGCTGTAATAATAAAGAAGTAGCAAGCCAAGCATGTGTCAACTATGAAACAAAGCATACAACGCTAACTTCAGGGAGATCTGTTTCAATGTAACCTCACTTTTCAGTTATTACCTTAACTCATGTCATATTAACTCTTTCCCTCCTCATAAAGCTTCAGCCTTCACAAATTGTCTTTAGGAAGTCATAAGAAACGTCTCTCAGACATGAAGCTTTGGCCTTAGTCAGAGCACTATGGAAAATTTACTGTAACGGGAATATATGCAAAATTCGTAAAGCAAGGTGATTTCAGTAGCATAAGTCAGGATATGATGCATGAATCTTCCCATACTTGAATCTTCATAAAAAATGCATAAAAGTTTTCATTTCAAGGACAAACTTGACACAGCAGTAAAGACACTCTTTTTAGAATTAGATGATGAAGAGAACCACCATAGCACTTCAAATTCAAGATTACAGTGATTACCTTTTGAGCTATTTATTGACCATTTCGTTGTGTAATTTTGAAATAATTGGGATTCCCAAGGCATCTAGGTAAAGTTAGACTAATTTTTATTACTCTCTCCATCCCAAAAAGGAACTCATTTTTACCGAGTATCAAATGAGTTGATTTCTATTTAAAATTGATTAAAGAAATGATTTGTTTAAAAGAAAACAAATTAAATATATATTTTTGAGTTATAAATCTACAAAAAGTTTCGGTCAATAGTGCATTTTTAAAGCAGTAGAATGAATTTCAAAAATCAAAAGCGGACACTTTCGATGGGATGGAGAGTGTACTTAACAAGAATATATCCGCATTATATTATTATTCTTGTTCCTCGGTCCAATTAAGCAATTAGGATTTCCATGTCTATAAGATCTTGATGTCATCCTACTGGTCCATTAGTATATTGAAGTCTACTGAAAGATTCAAAGTTACAATTTCATAAAGGCTGACTACCAAAATGATCATGTACTTTTGGTATAAACAAATTGTAAAACAGCTAATATGTTATGCTTTGTTTATCAATTCAACATTTTGGCCGGTTAAAGACGCAGTTTAGGGATTAGGATTTAGGATCTAGAACAATGACATGCCTTGCCACGTAGACAACAAAATGTTCTTTTCATGCATATCAACATGATTATGGAAAAAGAATATGAACTAGGATTAAAAAAAATTTAAAACTCTATGCATTCAACAAATTTGAACATATAGAAGTTTCACCCTCATTAACAAAAAATAGTGAAAAGATAAATTGATCAAAAAGTTAACTTTAAGAAGTGAAATCGTAATAATATCAAAGCACTGAATACCGCATCTTTTGTAGATACAAAGAAAACCTATATTATTGGAGTCGAAGAAAAAATAATTGAGGAAGATCACTTAGCTTCCACTACAGGAGAAAGCAACAATTTGTTTAACTTTGTTCTGATCAACTTGGTTGGAGAAGGTAGAGAATCAAGAGATAACTCCATCCATTATGATTGTTGATCATTGTTTTAAAGATAAGAAGCAAGAGAGGGGTGGAAGAAGCTTTGCTTTAGGTTAAGGGTTTTCATGACTTGGGACATATTTTGTCCACAAAAGTATCAAAAATACCTAGGAAGCATTTCAAATCCATATCATTAACAAAAATCTACAAGGCAAAAGAAAGTGATTTCCAGGTCATTAAGTTTGATCAGGATGTTAAGCTTGTGAACAGAAAAATACGTTTGAACCAGCCAATCAATACACTGTTGAATTGCAGAAAGTGTGATGATCTTTTCAGTCATTAGCCCCTTCTATAAAATGCCCTTCATTATGTGAAACAATCCTCCTAGGAGTGTGGCCCATGATTATCTTGGGTTCAGAGCATAAGAGAACCAACGATTTTTTTCTTGATAAGAAGCCTATAGACCTCTATCACCTTTCCATTAAACTTTATGCATCTCCAACTCCCAAATCTTATGATGTATTTTAAGACAAAAGGCCTTCATTTCAATTAAACTGCAAGCAAACTAATGTTTTTTTGTGGTAGATAATATCTATATAACGCAAATACTCATGCACAATCCTCACCTTTCGTGAGGTTTGAACCCTTGCTCTTCGGGTTCTAGTTAGTACAACTGGGCCAATGACCCTTTGGTAAGCAAACTCATGTTAACAACATGCATCATAAGAACATTAATAAAATGAAACGTAGCATTCCATTTGTGTTCTTGAGAAACTTCTTAAAAATCCTTTGCAATATATATATAATGGTAATAACCAACAGGAAGAGACACCCTTGTATAGAATTACATGGAACAACTATTTAAGCAGACGATAACATGTGGCCTAACAAAAGCCATACATGACAAAGCATCGGGAAGCATAAGAAGTTATCACATTTCAATACTTTAGAGGCTCAACACCACTACCAGCATCACCAAAATTCTGGACACTGCATATCTACAAGTGTATCCGGTTTTGTAGAAGGTACTAAATGAAGCCATAACACCTTTAATCAAAAGATGGCCTCATAAAACCTTATATGAACATCTTAATGGTGCAAGCAAAAGAGACCCTATAACCCAGATATGTTTATCATCTTCAGACTGCAATGCAGATACAGCCAAAATCAGCAATATGTGTGTGGGGAAACATCAAGTTCTAAACCGGAACACAGGAAACCTTGCACAAAATAGAAGACCATACCTCCTTTTAAAAACAAATTATAGCCTGTCCAAACTACTGCCCAAGAGACAACAGAAATCAAAATGATAAGAGGGGACGAAAAAGCCTAACACCTTAGCTGCAACTTATGCTCAACCCATAGGCATAGCTTCATGCGTACATATAGAGGGTCACTTGCCCCAAATCAAGGGTATCTACAAGGGAAAGTTTCTCTGAGATCACTTGCACCGAAGGAAAAAAGTTGTCAAAAAAAAGCATAGCATGAATAAATATATTGCTTTTACATATAGGTCCTTGCAACACTTCAGGATGACATTACTAGATAGTTACCAGCTCAATGTGAACTCGACTCAAATCACATACCCTCCACCTCACTGGAGTGAGTTACAAGATCCAAAAACATACAGCAGCAGATATGACAAACCACCCAAAATCTGTTAACGTTGTCATTTATACTGCTTTCTATTACTTATGTGATATGTCCAATACACTCCACTAGGTCAGATTGTAGCTACACCAATCTTAATGGAATGTTCCCTCCATATAGCATTCTGATTTGTAAAGCATACATGCTCACTATCCTATAAACCTCACATTTTTTAAACCAATTAAACAATACTCCTCATGCATGTCAAGACTTCATCCTCAATTATCATATTCAAGTACTAATATCCTCAAAAAAAATCATAATGTACTAATGTTGATTCAATCATCATTATGCATGTCTCAAGCACCCAATAAGAAGAAAATAATATAAGGAAGAAAGAACCACACTTCCATTCCCAACCATTTTTGCTAGGTCAAAGCCTACATCTGCTTGTATTTTGTGTTGGTGATTCTAAAACCCTTCGGTTCAAAATATTTCAAGGATCCAACTAACTATAACATCTTCCTTTGTCTCACTGTGTCAGCACAATACATGCAACAATCAACTGCTAGAACACTTCTAAGAGGCCCAAGTATTGTGTCATTGTTTTGCGATAATGGCAGAGGAAGACACGTGTCATGCTTTTTTTCATGAACTTATTTCAAGTAGGAAACTTCTTCCACTGAATAAGGTGTCTACTTGAAATGAGATCCTTCCAGTCTTCATCTTCCAAGAAGTTGTCAATATAAGATAGGCCTTGGATCAATCACTCTGGTACTGAACAAATTTAACTTTCTAATAAAACCACCTCTAATTAATAGCTATTTTCCATAAACCTTGCCTCACAAATAACTTGATGATCAATTCATAAGATAGTCCCCTAATATGATTGTCAATGCCACCTCCGTTCTTATATACATGCATGTTGAACTCTTTCACTTGCCAGATATCTGCTTAGTCCTAAAAACACCAAGAAAGCGAACTAGAGGCATACTACTTGGACATCAACAAACCATCGAACAACAATATGTTTCCAATCCACAAATCTTAAGCAGATATTACATACAAATCTCCCATCATCAAACCAATCATTATAAGTGTTAAATCAGGTAGGTTTACACAAGGAAAGCAACTATGCTCCTAAAAGCTTGATCCAGTTTTATGTGACTTGACAATTGAGCAAAAGAAAATCATGAACGGCAACTGCTTGATGGTAAAAATATTATATTACTTTACAACTGATCAGTTTATATATTCAACTAAAAGGAGTTAGAAAAGATCCATGATCATCTTCTCATTCTAGATTACTACTTCATAAACATCGCATAGATGATTAGCTACAGTACAACCAATTGAAACTCAAACCAAAGCTAAATAACATAGGCCACACCCAATATACGATCATATATAACATCTAGAGAATAATGTGATTTAATAAGCAACTAAAAAAGTAAAAAAGAACAACAAAATGATCAACCAAAAGTTTGTTAACAACAAAAAATATGCCACAAGACGTACATAGTTGTGCTGGTGAACAGTGCAGAAATGAGGCACAACCAATTTGCCAGCAAAATCATTAATTTTGAAAGAAAAAAGGTGCCATTTGGTTTTATTATCTGATTTATCTTTGGCACTGCAGATAAAACTTGTCTTTCTATATGTGTCGTTCACGGTACATAAAATATTCAGCCAGAGCTGCTCCTGTATAAGGAGCGTCAAGTGACTCTTACTTCACCAATTTCCATTTATTAGTTGTAACTAGTTCAGGAAAGAAACGATGAAAAACATTTCCCCAGCTCCCCTATATTAAAGTGTGTTTTTTTTCTGCATGAGGACGATATGGAAAAGCAAATCTGCAAAGCCCGTGCAAAGAGCAACAGTTTTTGAAAGAATATAAAACTGAGGAAAAGAAGTTTCGATATTTTTCAGAAATATATGACCAACAAAACCTCAATTTCACTAAAATCAAAGAAAACGTGCTTCACAGACCCTCATTGAAAACGCACCATAAACCAACTAAATTCGGCCAAGAAATTCGATTTTTGATAAAAATTGAACTATACCTAGAACCTACTTCACAAATTTAAACAAAAACGTACGAAAACCTAAAAAAATTCGCACCTAGAAGAATAAAACCCAAATTTCCCCAAAATCAACAAAAACAAGCTCAAAAACCCTAATTTTGAAATCCACCAATTCAACCCAAATTTTCCGCATATAACTCAAATTCCAGCTATATTAAGCTACAAACGAAACCCAATTCACATAATCAAACAACAATGCAAGCAGAAAATCCAATAATTCATATAAACCGAACTAGCATACATATGCATACGGAAGATAAAATAAAAATCTAAAGAGAGGAGAGAGAGAACCATCTTCTTCCAGCCAGAAGGTGCAGGGAGCTCCAAGGAAACAACTTCATCGTTCGGACCCAAGCTCGCCATTTTTGAAACAAAAACCTATAAAGTTACGAAAAAGAAAACCAACTCCATGACTCTAATTACATGTGAATATACATATACAATCAAGAAAAAAGCCCATATAGCTGCCAAATTTTCTAAAACTGTTACAAGAGTCGAATGATTCTTGAAGTTTGATAGAACTATGATCTTACCTTGGTGGTGTTTCTCTCTCTTCGACTTGGATTTCGTTTTGCGAAAATCTATCTGGGCGTCTGGAAACTGAAATCTCTAATCTAAAATAAATACAGAAAAAAGATACAATTTTGCCCCTTTAGAATAAACAAATTGTGTCTTTAGTCCCTATACTATCATTTTTATCTTTTTCAAGTCCTCTAAGTTTATTTCAATTTTTAGGTGTTTGATATAAATTCTGATGTTGCTTCAAATATATATAGAGAGAGAGAGAGGTGGGTTGGTTATTATACAACCCTTGACATTTGTGCAACCAATATAACACAATCTCTCGTCTATTTTATTTTATTAATATGTAATTTCATAAAAGTTTTGATTGTTTTCTAATATAAAGTATTGATCATAATTAATGAACCATATTCATCTTCCATAAATATTTAAATCATAATAAATGAACTCTCATCATTTCCATAAATATCTCAAATTATTAGGTTTCATTGGTTGTACAAATGCAATGGGTTGTATTTGAAACAAACTCTCTCTCTCTCTCTCTCTCTTTATATATATATATATATATATATATATATAGGGGAACGATCAAATGAAAACCACTCAATTTATAAAAACCGTAAACTTCATTCCACCAATCATAATTTTTCATTTTGTTCATTTTTTTTGTAATTATAAGAAGTTGATTAATCATTTTTATTGTGTAGAATGTTAATCATGGATATTATCATCTTCATTATTTTAATTTTAAAGAAATACATGAAACAGTTTCATTAAAATTTTATTAAGTAGTATATGAAACAATTTCATAACCATATATGAAACAATTTCATAACCATATATGAAACAACTTCATCAAAAAAGTATTATATGAAACAATTTCACAAGATTAAACAATTTCATGAAAAATTTCATAAGATTAAACAATGAAATCGACGGATGAGAGTAGTTTTTACGGTTTTTACAAATTGAAGTGGTTTTCATTTGATCGCTCATCTATATATAACCGTAAAAATCATTCTAATTTGTAAAAACCGTAAAAACTACTCTCATCCATCGATTTCATTGTTTAATTTTATGAAATTTTTTCATGAAATTGTTTAGTCTTGTGAAATTGTTTCATATAATACTTTTTTTTGATGAAGTTGTTTCATATATTGTTATGAAATTGTTTCATATACTACTTAATAAAATTTTAATGAAACTATTTCATGTATTTCTTTAAAATTAAAATAATGAAGATGATAATATCTATGATTAACATTCTCCACAATAAAAATGATTAATCAACTTCTCATAATTACAAAAAAAATGAACAAAATAAAAGATTATGATTGGTGGAATGAAGTTTTTACAGTTTTTACAAATCGAGTGGTTTTCATTTGATCGCTCCTATATATATATATATATATATATATATATTCTTTTTTTATAATCAAAAGTTCAAGAAAAAAGTCAACTATATATCTTGGGTAAATGTACAAAGGTTTATGTAGATAGGGTTAGGTTCGGTGAGAAGAAAATTATGGTAAGAAGCGTAAAAAGAGATCTCCATACTTGGATCAATTGTAATTGAATGTGAATAATAATGTTGTGCACCGAGATGCACCGGATCAATTTTCTTCTAAAGCATAATTCATGGATGGACATGAGATTAACCTTCTCTTGTTATCTTCTTATGTATTTAACTTTTTTGTTTGAAAAAGCCCACTATATATATGCTTAAGTACAAGGGTGGTGCATGATTGGTTTGAGTTTGATTCCAAAAATCAAAAGTACCAGGAAGTCTCAGGTTCAAATCCAAGAAAAAATAAAAATTCTCTTGTGGCCACGGAGATTCAAATACGGGAACTCCAGACTATCTACAAAGCAGGTGGTCGCTCTGGGATTAGTCGGTTCGTATAGCGGGTTGAATATCAGATTAATATAAAAAAAATATTTTTGTATTTAGTTATTATAAGTAGAGTGAATTACATTTGTGGTCCCTCATCTATGTTTTATTTCTGGTTTTTGATTTGTAAAACGGATTAAGTTATCGGTTGTCTTTATTTTCTATTTTACCTAACAAATTGATCCCTATACTTAGCATTGTTGACATTGTATCCACGAGGGACCAAAACCAAAAAAAATTAAAAAATTGGCGTTGTACAAATTATAGTAAAGGGGTGATAAATGACTATATGATAAAAAGAGGGACCAGGAATGTCAGTTAGAAAAACTTGAGGGGCTTAATTTTGCACTTCATTTTTTTGAACGAGAAAATGGAACCTTCCCCCAGGATAAAACACTTGTCACCTTTATGATCAAAGACGCAACCCTTTAGCTCGGAGTATTAATTGTTTTTTAAACCTAAGATTTGATAAATATGACTTTAATAATAAAATATTAATTTATACTATAAGATATTTAACAAAAACTCTTAAAAAATATTTTGTATACATAAAATACTGTTTATTGATGTATATTACTTAAAATTCAAGATTACAAGTAAATTATGCATAAGTACAACTTATTAAACTTCATATTTGAATTCGTGTAACTAACTGTAGATAAATATAATCAAATAGAGAATAAATATATTATTTTAAATATAAAAAATCTAAAATATAATTAGGATAATCATTTACTTCTAACAAAAAGTACTTTTTCATTATCTTTATTAAACCAAAAATAAAAATAAAATTGAATTAAGGAAATACATAAAAAAAAGGAGAAATTTTAAATAGTTAGTTTGATATTAATATTAATATTTTTTTTTTCAATTTTTTATGATATCTTCATATTTATATTTTATTCAGAAATAAAAACATTATCGTTTCCTCAAAACAACATAAAACTATATTATAACATCGAATGAGACAAACAAAGAAATAAAACGAAACATTAAAATCGAGATATATCTCGCTATATTGTGCGAGTACCTTTCTAGTTAATAATAAAATACTTAAAAAGCCTTTTATTAAAACAAGTTAAAAATATAAAACTTAATCAATTTATTTTCATTATTTATACTAATATTTATTGTTGGCTCAACCATCAAACTTGTAAATAATACAATTAGTATCTGATTCAAATTTAAAGATTTTCTTAACTCTTGCCTTGTAATGCTCACATTCGATATACAACATCAATCAGATATGATACAAGTGGATTAACATTTGAACTTAAGAATTTGTTAAGTTCAAGGCTTCGGATCTTAATCACCATCAGATCCATAGCTTAAATGAAATGTGAGATCAAATCTTAAATTTGATTATTCTACATTCGAATGGAAAAATCCGATTGACCTATCTTCATGGTCACTCCATCTTGATTTTCGAGAACCTATATTTTATTCTAAGTTATCTTAGAAACCCGATGTTCCAACTTCATAATTAATCTATAGCTAGAATCTGATACATATCTTATACTACGGAATAGAAAAGATAGGATTTTTTCTTTACAAAAAAACTTGTAATTATCTATATTGATCCAAGAACAAAAAGTCTTCAACAAAATCGAATACTTTAGGTTAAGATCGTCAATAAAGCGGATTGGTTTTTCATCTAGCCCAAAGAAAATTAATACAAGTTAAACAGTAGTCCGACAGATCTACTAATGGCAAGCCAGATTTTGGAGTGCAAATTTGTCTAGCAAGTTTAGCTTACTAATTCTACCAACACTCATCCTGGTATGGGAACATATTTAGGATGTTAGTCAAAGTAAGTTCTAAAATACTATTTAGTAGTACCATTCTTCCTTTATTGTTCTCTTTGCTTACAAAATGATGAGTTAGGTTAACAAGTGCCTACATCAACTTCAAAGGCTGAAATGAAATAGTATACGCATGCATGGATCAACAAATCAGATAAAAACATACATTAAAGTTGGTAAGCAGCATTTAATGCAATGGTGGTTATAAAATGTCATCTTTGTCATATGTTACAGCTCACGCATTTTGAAAAAAACTTTTGTTGATAGTTTTTTAACCAAAATCAGTGTCACTATCTGAAGAACTATATTAGTCTTTCAAATCTAAAAAGTACTATTCTTTCTAAGTCTTTCAGTTGTTAGCAAAATTGTCATCAATCAGATTGTTTAAGGGGGTGTTTGTTTGCCTCTTAATAGCGACATTAAGACGGAGCCTCTTAATCGGTAAGAGGCAGGGTGTCACATCCCACTAAAGCGGAAACGCGGGATGCAACAGGCAAGCGTGTCACAACGACGATTAATAGATAACAACATTAAGTTTTACATAATAAAGCGAGTTAAATTTTACAACCAAAATCTTATAAAATTCTTCATTTGTAAAAACTTCCGATTTTAACTAAATCAGCTTTGACACGAGTTAGTATGCTCCCACTTGAGACAAATCTTACTTACCACCTGAAAAGCATGGACCAAAAACAAGTCAACTACAAAGAGTTGGTGAGCTCACGGGTTTTYATATGCATAAAACGTTTCAATGCATAAACCAAATATTTGCAAACTTATGCGAATCCTTTGCACTTAATAAATGTAAATCTTTCACGATGTATAACTTGAGACGCTACTGAGCCTTACCTGACCAACTTGCCCCATTAATTTACGAACAACCATAGGTAGCCTGTACACTACTTAGGTCCCACAGTTCGTATAAGTACTAATTCAGCGGTGGTCCAAATTCCACATGATTAGACAAGAAAACATAGGTAATGTGCACCTCTTTCTAGGTAGGACTGTCAACACAATAACGGCTATCCACAATACCATGGCCCGGGGATGTACCCGAGTTAACAAGTAGCGTTTACAGACGGGGACTTTTATTTGGAAAAATATACTCCCAAGCACATCAATTTAGCATTTATTCCAAGTGCAATATCAGTTGACAAAACAAAACATAGTAAACCCGACTAAGCAGTTCCTTAGTCCAGGGGTTGTAAACAAATAAACATGCATAGTCTGCTTAATCACATGCTTTTCCCCCAAAACAGTAAACAAGTATTTAAAAGTGGGGCCGTGAGAACTCACCCTTTTGCGAAGCTCCGCTAAACAAAAATACGATGCGGTCCCCACACGAGCTTAACGTTTCCCTATCAAAGAGAAATATCCAA